CGTTCGATTTTGAAATCACGCGTATGATTTCAGACCAAATTGCACTCCACTCAGTTCAATTACCATTATGTATGAACTGACGTTCGACACCACGAGTAGTAAAACAGATTTCAGCTACGGAAATCCGTTATCAATTTTGAAAAATGAAAAACAAAGAAAAATCGATAGAGAGATCAAAATATTTCCATTTGTCTCTGGTCAGTTCGCTTGCATGGATGATGGGGGCATTCATTAAATCCAGATTGCTAAATAATGTACATTCTTAATGGCATGCTTTCTTTCACAGGTTTATCCCAGAGCCACAACATTTACATTAACTACTTGCAGCCTCTCGATAACTAGTTTCACGATCACTCCAACTATACCAGCTCGCAGGGATGTGAGGGAAGAATGGCCAAAGATAAGTTTCTGGCTCCCGAAGGAGATTCAACTGGTAAACAACGACGAACAATGTGAAATAGAGCTACGGGAAACTGAGCCAGTTTTAGTGGAAATAAAGACTACCTGCCCGGCAACCGGAGTTTCAGGAGGTCTTAAAGCAATAGTCCCGCACATCTCTGACCTACATTTGAGCCAGGTTTGGACAACCGATCTCGGCCTTCCAACAATATGGGTATGTAGACAATAATTTAAATCTTTCAAAAACTATGAAAGGTCAACTAAACTGATTGATTCCCTCAGCGGCCTGAATTGTGCAATACGGACCACTAAGATGGACCGCTCACGCTCATTGCTTCCTCAATTCATTGCACAATTTTTTGTTTGTTTGTTTGTTTGTTTGTTTTTTGTTTTTGTTTTGTTAAGTAGAAATATTTTTACCTTTTTTACCTTCATGTTTGGTGGACAGTTTCAGTTAGATGTTTACAAATGCGACGCGAGAAACGTAAACAAATGCTTGCTTTTTGCGCGCGCCTTAACCGAAATGAATCGCTGAGTTATTAGCAGATTTTAAAAAAGAACAATTATAAACAAAAAATCCTTTATTAAGCCAGCTTGCTCGGTGCGTATTGGAGAATATTGGACTCGTTTTTTTTTTGTTTTTTGTTTTTTTTGCTAAGCAGGTTTATGTACTCAGCCGAAGGCTCGGTCCACTGTTTTTTTAACATGGACCTCAAGCTAGTTCAACATCAGATCCTAAGGAACTATGGGTCCATAATTAAGGGGTGTAAGGTAAAGACTAATTTTTCGCCAAATATACAGGAAACACTCCCAGATAGAACATTTGCTCGCATAATGTCGGATAAGTTGTCCTGTTTCCATTGTTACAGCTGACAGGTAGGAAGAGAACTACTGAAGTACCTTGAGAACGACATCTAACATCTAACAGCGCACGTACGTGCTGCATATTTGGCGAAACTCTGATTAGTGGCTGATGCAACATGGTGTTTCACCTTTTCACCAAGACTCGTTCTCACTGACACCAGTCTTTTTGGTCTCCTTAGACCGGGGGTGCTCTTTGAGGCCTTCACTTTTTAAGTCTTAGAGCATTAGAAAGAAATCAGATAGAAATCGAAGAAGCGTAGAGAATTTCTAGTTAATTACGCCATTAGTTCTGAACAGTCGCCTTCTTGGATCCGCCATCTGCGATTTTATGACTTTTAAGTGAAACAAGACCACCAAAACCAACTAAAAAGGCAAAAGATGGTTAATTATAAACAAATTGCCCATCCCTTTTCCAGAAAGGCAAAACCCTAGCTTTCGCTGCTGAATCGAGTTGGCGAAGTAATCACAAACTAAATAGAAATGCCTCATCCGAAGGTTTAGAGTATCTGAATTTACATTAATTATAACTTTCCGTAATTAAATTATTCTTAATTAGGTACGTGTCGTCACGCCCGTGGAAATTTACACAAATGTACATCTGTCACAGATCCACATTACACCGCGTTGAGTCCTGGAGGAAATGGTGGGTAAGTACCATTATATATTTTCTCGAGGAGAAAATAAGTAAAGCCCAGGAGAACGATAAAGGCGTTTGTGTCTTCTTTTCGTTTTTTGTTTTGTTTTGTTTTGTTTTGTTTTGTTTTTTTCATGAATATCATGTATTTTTGTAATGTTGGCTTTTTGCCTCGTGTACACGGGACCAACGCCACGTAGACAAGAGGGTATAGTGTGAAAAACATTCCTGTGTAACGCATTCCTGTTTAACCATTCTTTGCGTCCCTAATGTAAGATTCCTGGAAGTAAAAATGTATCCTGTGTACTAGCTTAATCTAGCGTTACGCTTGCATTACACTTCTTTGGTTTGGCAATGAATTTCTTCGCAATAAACAAATGACACGAGGCAACCCAGGCCTTGAAGCGGAGCTCTCATAAAATATTGATCATTTACTCGCCACAATAAGCCGTTTAAAGAAATACATCAATAAGCATTTTCAACAGACCGAATAAAGAGAACAAAACGAGGAAATTAACATAAATACAATATGCGTATGTTTACATCCGAGTATCAAATAGCAAATCCTGTCTCAACGAAGGATGGCCAAATGAAAGAAAATTCGTTTAGGATCAATTATAATTCAAGGTAAATCCAAGAAATGCATTTACAAGCCAAAGTCCAAATTTTCAAAAACGTGTGTACCGGTGTTAAATAATTTGCCATTTTCGATATAATAAATTTCTAACTCTGCCTCCGAGGCTTGGGGGAATAAAACAACAGAAATCGCATTGAGGTTGAAGGATGAATAATGATTTTTCCTTTATTAAGTTCCCGAAAGCCTTGTAGCCAACTTAGAATTTTAATACATCGGAATGGCCTATTATTACGCTGAAGCGTAATTTAAATATTATTTTTGATGACGGCTTTAAAGTCACTTATTGCTCGAAGCTTTACCAGTCTTTTACTAATAACCTTTACAAAAATTTACTAATAAGCATTTCACCAAACCGAATAAATTGAACAAACAAAACGGACAAATATCCATATGTTGTAAACACTGCAAATCATCACGCTCGGGGGTAAAAAAGCAAATCCCTTCTCGGTTTGTAACCATAATAGAAGAGGAATTTTTAGCAATCTACAGAGCGGCTCTCCCTACTAACCAAAAGAAAACTTCAAAACTCGCGTTCGCAGTAAACTTTTTTTTACAAATACGGCTTGATATTTTTATACCTGAGATTATCGGCGAAAAACCGACACAAAACTATCTTTTCAAGGTGAATATCTCGCCAAAGAAACTTGACAGATTTTTATGAAAAACGCAACGGGAATTTCTACAACAAAGAGTCGCTACCGCTTAAGTTGGCAATTAACTTAGGTGTAAATCTACCAGGCGGATGATGAACTACTCTTTTCGATAGATCAACGAATCAACCACTTTTTCCACTGTGTTTGCCGTTTTGTAATTACGATAAACACACGAAAGAAGGTTGATTTTTCTCATGAACTCCTGATGAGTGATGTGACTCCCCTCCTACTCCCACAGCGCCTATACGGACAAACGAACGCTCGCTCGCTTGCGCATAACCAAATTTTCTCGGCTTGATGGTTTATAATGATAACTGAGTGGAGTGCAATTTGTGTAGGTGATCATACGGTTTTTCTGGTTCTATTTGGAATTAATTTGTACTTGTGAGTTTTTCAAAACACTGAAATTGCACGGGCCGCTTCATACATGTATGTATACCGAGAGTTGTCCAGAAGAGTGCTTCTGCAAACCTTTTAAGAGGACTCTACATGATTAAACCGGCTTCGAGGAAAACAATGGTCAGTATCGAAGTCTAGGACCGTCACGCTCGACACAGATGAGGAACGTATAAATGTACCTTGTATACAAACCTGCAGCTGGAAGGAAAAGCTGGCTGTTTAAATGCTACCTAGGTTCCAAGGATCGCTTCAAAGGACCAAAACTTTAATCTTGAAGCCAGTAGGAGATTTACGTGAATTTATCGGAGCACTTTGCGAAGGCGAGTATGTTAGTTACTCACTGGAATATTTTCAAAACTTCCTGCACTTTAGGCGGTCGTTAGTTTTGAAAACCTATGAAGAATCAATTATAATATCTATTCATATGGTTCAGCAGTTTCAAACAGGTGCCACATTTTTAAAACGTGCCTTCAAAGTAGTGCTATTTTCGTGTTTGGTTCAAAACTCCATGTAAGGGTAGAAAATCTTCTTTTGACCGTTGAAGGAACAACATTGAATTATAATTGCAACACGATTAAACAAACTGCCGTGATATATCTATAGTTTAAAAAAAAGAATTGGGACTTTTGAGCGAATATTATTATTATTATTATTATTATTATTATTATTATTATTATTATTATTTCTTTTTAGAGCGCCGGCAATATGTGCTATTTTTCCAGTTTCGGCAGGTACGCAACTTGTGTCGAGCGGACCGAACTTCAATTAATCCTAGAAAAATTCAATTAGAATTTTTAAACAAATAAAACCCATTTTAGTGATTGACTAGGAAAGGGCTTCGAAATCCTAGCTTTTGAGAAAAATCGAAATTTCGAAGTAAAATTAGCGGTCGGTTTTTACAGAGACAGCCTCTCAAATACCGTTCAATGGCACTCTGCATGATTTTAAATACAGCTTGTTTCTTTTTGAGACCTCGGCGTAGAACTTTACACTCAGGACCTTGTCAAGTTATTGCGGCGCCATTTGTTTCAAGATATTTTCAAGATGGCGGGACTGGCACCAGCTTCGGAAGCTCTTTCATTCATTGTTTTGTGGAGCGGGGAGTATTATGACTATGTTTATTCACAGCGACAGAGTTAAGCTCTTGTATTGCCTCGATTAAAACTACCCGAAACCTGAAAACATCTACCTTCTTGAGATGGCTATGAACTTGTTGTTGTGTGGTTTTCGTTCGCTGATGTTTTGCTGGACTCGGTATCATTATACGGATCTTAAGCAAATGGTGAAGAAAATCGCTAAAATATTCGCAAAACTAGACACTGAAAGTTGGAAACTTCCCTTGAAGTAGGTCGTCAGCGTGAAGGAGCTCATGATCATCATTCAAAAACTGTAATTAATTAAAATGGTCAATTGTTTAAAACAACAACAACAACAACAACACAACAACAAAGTTCTGGCAATAATAGTTGCAAAATTCGCCACACAACAGCTTTTTGTCTTTCATTTTCCTGAAATTTTATTGGTCACTTTAAACTAACCTTGAAATCTGATTGGTTTTTTGTTTTACTGTCCCATTTTCATTGGTTGAGAAAAAGACTCGATTTAGAGCAAAAATTAGTGCGATTCGTGAATAAATCGCACGGCTGAGAGCCAATCAGATTGCAACGATAACCAATAATTTCAAGATGGATTTAATAAAACCAGAAACCCTTACCAATGGTGCGCCGGACAAAACATACATATTTCAAATACCGTAAATCCTCGAATTAGCATCACCCCCCAACTCCAATAAGCGCCCCTCCTATCGGCCAAAATTTAAAATATGCGCTCCTTCTCTAATAAGCACCCCCCTCCCCTCCCCCTATTTTGTGGACGAGTAATGAGACAGCACAGAATGTACAGTTTTCGTCGTGAAGTATTAGATTTGTACATTGTTTCAATTTGTGACCACGTGAATTTCTAATGGTGCCGAGATTTAAACGTTAAGATCAGCTTTTTATGTCGACAAGCAGCTTATGTTGTTCTTTACGTGTATTGAAAAATATGATCATGTCAGGCTACGATATGCGAAAAATTAAATAAGCGCCCCCTTCCCCCCTCTATTAAGCGCCCCCCTAGAAAGAGCGCCCCTCGAATAAGCGCCCCTGGAATAAGCGCCCCCCGTATTCTCCTAAATTAGAAATAAGCGCCCCGGGCGCTAATTCGAGGATTTACGGTATCGAGATATGTGATATCCTTGAAAATTTTTGTCTTCCTGCATAAACTCAAACGTATTGTTAATGAATAGATCATTGCCTTATTTTCGATAGAGTAAAACAAGATGGCAGACTTTCGCTTATGATTAAATGCTTAGAGTACTGCATTCTCAATTGACATAAGCGTAAGCAATAGCACAAGCACAAGAAGAACAAAAACGCTTTTTGTGTCGTGGGCTTACTGTGCTTAAGCTTATGCTTGTGCTTATGTCATAGTGAACACCAGGCTTAAAACCATTTGTTCATGATCAACAGTAATTAAACTTGTTTGGCCTCTTACCGGTGGCATTAAAAGAAACGATAATCACGCGCAAGTCATAAAATCATACACTTCTCACGAAACTCAAAAAAAACAAAAAAACAAAAAAAACAAAAAAAAAAACAAAACTCAACCAATCAGTAGACAAACAAACCAATAATTTGAACCCTGCTACGTCTATTTTATTTTAGATATTTCGATTTTATGGGTCTCGGAGATTATATCCTGTACAGAAATACCGAGACGAACTTTGAGGTGAGAAATGTCTTTTTACAAGAGTAGCTAGAACCGGCGATGACTTCGAAACGACATTGAGATTTTTTACGTGGGCATACTGAGCGCACCGAATTCACGTCACACGCTTCTATCAACTCGTCGCCGGTTCCTCGTCGTCAACAAGGTGCAAAGTTCTCCTCACGTCAACGAGTTTTGTTTTTAGTAACGGCAAAAACATAGCCTAGCGTGGGAAAACTCGAACAATAGTTTGCATATTCGTCGTCTGATCTAATGGTCTCCATTGATGTTGGGTTTACATAGGAATGTAAGCTACATAAAAATCCGAGAATGTTCATTGTGTTCGAGGATTCAGATAAGTATGACAAACTAACATTTATTTAAGATTTAGAAAACACCCGTGTTTCTATAACTCGATGGAAACACAGAACTAGCTCGAGCTGTTGACGTAACGATGGCGCGAGCAAAGAAAATTTATATTATGATAATCAAAGTAAACAAGCTGTTTTTCTCTTTTGCGTCGCGGTGTTTTCTAAAAGAAATAGAAAACATGTTCTCCATCGAGTTATAGAAACACGAGTGGAAGTTTGGGAGAACGAGAAATGCCGTGGGAACACGAGCCACAGGCGAATGTTTCCACAGCTTTTTCGAGGTCTCCCA